CCCCCCCCCAATCCCCAAAATTCTAACTTGAAGGAAGTTACTGGTAGAAATATCAATTACAAAGGCCTATGTAAAAGATGGAAGAAATCGCATGTTAAAAAGATAAAGTTTGGAATTTGCTTGAGATCATTTTGACTCACAAAGTGGTAACCAGAATAGTAAAGATAATACAGACCAACTGCAATGGCTAATTACTTTCGGAAGTACTTAAGATGCTTAACTTAACCGGTCTGAAATGGGCCTTGTTCAGGGCTTATTATCTTTGACTAAATTTAATTATTAGATTGATTCAAAGAAAAAGATAGAAATAAATATGCTGAAAAATAAGGTTAAAATGAATATGTACATTTTGGGAGCATTATTTCGCGAAGAGAGACCTTCAACAGAAAAATCACGCAATAAATGAATTTTATGTTGACTTAGGTCATTTAAAAAATTGTTTTGTTGTTCCAAGTACCCGCTCACAGTTTTAAGAAGATCAAGCCATTAGATCAAATCAACGATTTCTGAAAATCAGGAATGTAAATTTACAAGCGAATTCGGGATTAAATCATGGAAATTGAACTTCGAAATATTTTTATAATATAAAGTAAGTCTTTCTCCTTAAGGGGAATTGGATACCTCAGTTATTTAGAATTAAAATGAAGTTAGACTTCGTTGCATTTTCCCAATTGATCACCATCTCGTCCCTAATTCCATTTCATATTTTACCTTCGAAAATGCTACTCCATGACTAATACCTGCAACAGACCACCACAAACAATAAAAATAAATGAAAAATAATAGATTATGAAAAATAGAAATAACTGGCACGCAGTTCCAGTTGAAATAAAAAGGTTCCATTTTAAGGAAAATTGAATAATTACCGGGAACTTTCATCGATTAAAATTTAGCATTTCGCTACACTGTAAAGCCCGCGTGTTAGGTAATTATTAAATCAATTAACCAGCTGTCCAATTAGCAAAATTAGCTCAGACATTTGCAATTTCTTAATATAATAAAATGGGATCGATATCTATTACAAGCAATTCTGTTAGATCTCTGAGCACAAATTGGCAGGCTGGTTGACATGGTCGAAGTCGAGAAGCTCTGGAAAAACTGGTGCGTTAAAATTCATTTATCTATGAATTATTTCATTACTTAGTTAGCAATAAACCTTAAGTATTCTAAGATAAATAGTACCTCTACTCTTAAAATTTTCACAATTACTACTTTTTTTCAATTCACAAGTGCCTTCAAAGAACTTCAAATCGAGTATCTAGAGGTCAGGAATGTTTTGACTCGAACTCTTTGACGTTTATAATGCTTTTAGATAAAATGTGTTAAAATATTACCGAAATAAGATTTAAAAATTAGCCTATTTTACAAAAAATGAAGAGACTGAGAAAATTTACACGTTGTAATACTTTGTATTTCAATGAAAGAGTAACGTAATACAAGAATTTTGGGATTTGCAAATTTTACTCATCACAACTACTATTTTAGTAAATTAGCATTAGATCCTAGTGTCCATTTAGTCCCATATTTCTCGAGATGATTGAATGCCTTCTTAGTCTTCTAAGAGTAATATTTGGCGTCTATGTGCTAAAAGCCTGTTTCTAGTTTCGATTTATTTAGATTGTCGGGTCATGTTTTGATTAACATGTTCAAATTACGAAAAATTACTAATTACACAGCATATTGGGATGGCTTTGGTAGTACTAAAAAATACGCACTTAAAGGTAACGATTCCTAAGTAAGTTACTTAACATTTAGTTTTAAACAGTTAGTGCAATGAGCAGCAGTTAATGAATTTTAACAATTATTATCTTAATTCATTGAATCTGAATTTGCTGCGTTAAGCGAATTTTCGGAGATTAACATTATTTTTATTATACCGCAGTCTATTGGATACCTATGACGAAAACGATGAATCCGACTACTGTAGTGATAGCAATGAATATGAGGTCACCATTCCTAATCCGAGTCTGCAATGTTCTAATAACAATCAGAGCAGTCCTATTAATTCAGAGAGCTTAAATCTTCCCAAAAATACTGCAATCCCATGGACCCAGCCAATTTCGTCACCTACCTTACCCATTCAGTCTCAGCAAAACAATCAAATTGCAGTGGTTCTGTCTCGTGAAGAGACTCTTGTCAGGCTGATTGAAAGGACTCATTACCCCATCATGCAAGAGAATGGCCAAAGACGCTACGGCCCACCTCCCGACTGGGTAGGACCTGCTCCTGCTCGTGGTTGCGAAATTTTTATTGGCAAGATTCCACGCGACTGTTTTGAGGATGAGCTAGTCCCAGTATTTGAAACAGTTGGCAAAATCTACATGTTCCGTCTTATGATGGATTTCAGTGGATGTAATCGTGGATACGGTTTCTGTATCTACACTAATCGTGACGACACGAGAAAAGCCGTCCAAAAACTTGACGGTTACGAAATTCGTAAGTCAAAAGCTCTAGGGGTCTGCTTCTCCGTTGATAACTGCAGATTATTTGTCGGTGGAATACCAAAGACTAAAACCAAAGAAGAAATATATATTGAAATGTCGAAGGTAACTGAGGGGGTTAGAGATGTGATTGTATATCCCAGCGTTGTGGACAAAACCAGAAACCGCGGCTTCGCTTTCGTTGAGTACGAGAATCATAAAGCTGCTGCAATGGCCAGAAGGAAGCTTATTCCAGGCAGAATTCATCTCTGGGGACATCAGGTAGCTATTGACTGGGCCGAGCCGGAAAGGGAAGTAGATGAAGACGTTATGTCGAAGGTAAGATTCGTATTACTGATTCATTTAAGTAGACTTGATAATTAAAATTTATATTTCTTTTGTTAAGAATCGATTTGTTTTATTATTTGTAGGTGAGAATATTGTATGTTCGCAACCTAATGCTGCATACTACAGAAGAGGCTTTGAGAGATCAGTTCAATCTTGCTGCGGGGTTCAAGAATGCTGTTGAACGTGTAAAGAAAATGAAAGACTATGCCTTCATTCATTTTACAGACCGAACTTTAGCTGCTAATGCTTTAGCGGTAATGAATGGTGAGCTGGAGTTATTAAGCTATTTACCTACTTTTATTCAGTCAACTTTTACATAGCTTTAACATTATATTACTATATAGTTAGGTTTTTTTGATCTTATTAATTTAAACTTAAGTGTGTTTAAAAATCACATTTCTATAAATCTCCATCACTTATACCATTCGAATGACTGCATTTTATCGCGAATTGTGTAGCAGTACATTACTTTAAGATAATTAAATGCCATTAAAATCGTATGAGAGGCTGTGAATCAGAATCGGGAATATTTACCTGCGCTTTCTGAATAGATTTGTTAGAATTTTATTTCATCGCCGGCAAATCTCTTTCATCTTTTGACTACCCTATATTGCATTCGCTTCCGAACCAATGCATAAATTTAATTGTATTTTGGAAGCAGGTTACTATTTGGATGGCTCTAGAATTGAAGTTAGTTGGGCGAAACCTGCTGATAAAACTGAGGCTCTTCGAAGATCATTAGATCAAGGAGGACTACTGAGTCTTCTCAAGAACATACCCACGGATTCATTTAATTCCAATGCATTATCACTCCAATTCCAACAACAGCAAAGTCAGCAACAATTACTACTCAATTCATTAATGAGAAATACAGATGGGGCACGGTCCTCTGGAATTTCCGAGAACGATTCGCTGAATCCATTTCGAGACTGCATTCCACAGAATTCTAATGAGAGGATTTTGCGTGATGCTCTTACGCTTTCTCGAATTCTAGGGGATTCAACGGGTATTAATGTAAATAAACCTCAGATATCTACCAATATGCAGTTGCTTCGTAACGAACAGCCATCTACTACTCCTCAGCAGATAAATGACTACATGCAGTATCAAAAGTATGCGTAACTTCTGACAACATTTGAACCACATGTGGGGGAATATTGGCTAAAATATTTCTTATCGATTTCTTCTAGGCAGCCAGAGAAGGAGGGTGACAGATTGCAGAGAATTTTGGCTGAATTAAATGCTCGTATACAATTGGAACGCCAAAGGCAAATCCTTTCCTTCCAGGGCCAGCACTTGGTTGATGTATGTTCATTTCAAATATCTCTCTATAACAATTCTTTCCTTCTTTCGTCATTCTATTTCAATAAGTAAAAGGAATTTAATGTTATTATTCACTTTTAGCAAACTTTCTGTCAAGGTGATTTGTTCACCAACACCAATAATTTAACATCAGTCCTGAATAGATTAACATCAAGGCCACAAGTGCATCAACCAATGAGTATTGGGATTCAAGGGCAACAAAGCGTGTGGCCAAACCTTACAGCAATTCAGAGTAGAGCTCAACAACAAGTAAATCAAAACCACTTTTATTCCGATTCATATCGGCCTATGCTGTTTAATACCGCAACTCCTAATATGGACAAACCGAATAGAATGAACACCCTGGAAATTCCGCTCAATAAGGCCCCATTAAATCAAGCTCTCACTCAAATGTCCTGTGTAGATAATCTAGGTAAGATTTTAAATGTGGGAGAACTGGGTTTTCTTTTTCAGAATTTTTATTGCCTACATCAAATAGATACCTGACACTAGTAGTTTATTAATTGCGACTAATGTCGGATAATTTTTTATGACTGAAATGTATGGTAGAGGTTGAACTGCCAGTGAAGTAGCAAAACTTTTTTAGATCACATCTTACCAAAATTAATAACAAATTAGATAAATAGTTACGAGTATGGTTAAACTGAGTTATACTATCTTTAGGTTCAGAATCCATTATGAAATGCGACAGAAACTATTGTAATTATGGTCAAACTGATTTGCCTATTACAACAAACCTGAATTCAAATTTTGATTTCACAAATAATCAATTTTTCAAAAACGATTACAATAAAATTAATCAACTCGCTCCATCGACTTATCGAGAAGTCAGTCCAAATCTCTTCTCAAATTCCCAACCACAGCTGAGTCTGATTGAGAGGCTTCGTAGACGACAAGCGGCACTCCAAGATCTTCCAAAAGACTTATATGAAACCTTGCCACCTCAAACACCACAGGGACCTGAGGACCAATTCTTCGATGAACCCAATACCCCTTCAATTTTCTCAAAAATTAACCATCTATTTGAGTTCACGAATGATCCCTTTTCAATGGGTTTCCGCGAGACTATGTCAAATTCTTCGATCGATGTTCCTGATTTGAAATTTTCTGTTGATAAACTAATCATGGACGATGAACAGAAATTTCCACCAAGCAATGCCTTAATTTAGCCAAATATCTAAATCGTTCTAAAGAGGCTTAGTTCTCAGTGTTCCAAGTTGATAATGTTTGAGTTTTTCCTATTATAATTGATCAGAAAATCTGTTTTACTATTGCGTTGAATTCAATTTGATCATATAGTCAAGATCGTCTCTCAATTTCAAATGTTTAATGAATGAAATGTGGTGAAGAATAGCTGGATTCTTTTCACAGAATCAAGATGCTTTGCAATCGATCAATACTGCGTCGGATGGTCTGATAATCACCTTTCTCAATAATATAAACCAGTGTTTATTTTACTGTTTTAAACTAATGTCAATTTGAATAAAAAAATAAATATAAGTTGACCATTTGAATATTTACCCTGTCTTTAAATTTTGCGCAAATGTGCTTATACTACATCTTCTCATCATATCTAAGTAGGCACTTTTTGTAACAGTTATTTTGCTTGTTTGGTAGCATCATGTCATATCCCTTCAAATAGCCAACTCTCTCACTGGGCATGCACCGATAGACATCGAACAAATGCCCCTTGATAACCACTGAGTGTGCTTTGATAACTCAATTCTTTAGTAAGCATAGGATCAAAAAAGGAAATATTGGTTTTGCGTTTCGATGTGATTGGAAAAACGTGCACGTTAGCATACCCATGTTAAAGCCTACTGGCAACTTTTTGAGTCATATACTTCAAAATTGTATTCCCATAGCTTTGACCAGTAGAGGGCAAGGTTAGGCTTTGATAAGAAGTAATAAATGATAGGTGGGTAGTCACTTATTGTCTAATTAAAATTTGCAGTGATAGTTTTTCATGAACCATTTTATAAACTCTAACATTAGAGAGATGCCATAATAAATAACACATGCGTCTAAAGTTAAGTAGCTACGCAACATAAGAAGTACACCTAACAATTGGGCAGATCCTGATTTCTGTATATTAGTGTACGCTTTTTGGCATAACCCATTAGTCGATACTTATCAATATTTTTATTTATTTCAAATGGCGGACTTTATGACACATCATTAGCCCTTTAGCTGACTTCGGACTTCACAGAGGGGAGGAACATCAAAGTGAGAAAAGTGGAGAGGGGGAACAGAAGAGTGATTCAAAGATGTTAAAGAGACAGACAGACACAAAGGCAGAGAAATATGGTAAGATTAGTACGGCGGAAGTGGTCGAATATGACATACAATGGGTCATGGCAATTTGCAGTCAGAAGACAACTCCCAATTAACAGACTTTTTCCGTATGAGAATACGTTGCCCGGGATGCACCACGTGAAGGTAAGTCTGTCGCACCCCTACTTGTCAATATATACCATGCGCTTTGCCTTCACTGCAACCTTGAAGCATTTATAATTATCAATAATTTTAGTCTTGGGCTCAAATACTAATTTACCTCACTAGAGAAATTATTGGGGTGTGGAAATGCAAAGCATAGATAGATCAATTGTGGATAAACACACTTTTAATTAGCAAATCGATATTTTATGGTACTTTTGTGATTCTGTCCGCATTTAATATAACAACAGCCCCATTCTCGTATGAAAAAAAGAACCATATAATTATAAGCAAACTTACTGCCTCAATATGGCAAGCTATTAGAAAGGAAAGGGCTTTGGTAATTTAAATGGATTTTTATGCTAGCTATGTGACTTATTTTAAAGATAATACTTTGTTATGAAAACAATGTTTTAATGGGTTTAAGTTAATGGCAGAAGTAGACATGAAAATAATTTCTATAATATTTAAAGCTTAGAAAAAATCTATCTTACTTTTTACTCGCATTCAGTGTTAATCTCGAGGATTTATTTTTAATATGAATTCACATTTTCGCAAGTAGGTAAGTCAATTTGGAAAGCTAGAAAGTTCATCCATCAAGATTAGCGTTGAATGATAATGTTTCTAACCTCATTATCTTAATTAGGTCATTGTTTCTATTTAACTAACATTTCATGCTACGTGAAACAAAGCTCTTTCTAGCATATTTATCGGTTGGGGAGGAAAGTGAACTGTGATTATTCCCTCGGTGATGCCTTGGCCACAAAGTTCTTCAACCATATTGAGGGTTTCGGGTTCAGTCCACATCTAGTGAGTGTAACTGCCAATTACACTGCCTGGGTGTGGCTATTACAGAGTGGCAGGGGCTCTATAATGTCACTCTCTACCCAGGATGGGTGTTGAAGAATGTTCCCACATTAATAGACGCTATTATGAGGTGATTGCATTCAATAAAACAAAGTGGTACTTTTTAAGGTGGAAATAAAACATAAAGTGGCGAAAAATATTCATTTAAGAACTTCCCATTGAGAAACTTGCCCCTTTATTATTTGTATCTGCTGCATTTCAAAGAACTTCATGTTGAGCAATTTCCATACATTTTAATCTCATAATTATAGAAGCTTTTGTACTTAGCTGACCTGTGTGTTCTCCCCCCCCCCCTCTTGTTTATATGGGAGAACTGTGTAGAACGTAAAATTAATTCACACTTTTTGTCTTTTGTATAACCGAGGGCGCTAGAAAAGTTCATTTCGATAAATATTTTGTTCTTCAATGTTACTGGAGGACAATTTCACAAGGCATCGATTCTCTCGAAGTACCATTTATTAGTATTTTCATAGTCGGATATTTCACAAGTCAATTCCAATTTTTCCGAAGACTCGAAAGGACAAACATTATAAATTGTTCCAATATACTGATTGAGCGGTTTTATCATCTGCAAAGTGATCACTAGGTTTGAATATTTTGCCATGTTTATCTCTTTGGCCCGGGGTACGTGATAGACTTACCTCCACGTGGTGCACCCTGGGCAATATATACCCACACGACAAAAGATTCTATAAACCGGCAGTTGATTTCTCACTTCAAACTACCACGACCCGAATGTGCGTCATATTTGACCACCAAGAGTGTTACAAAAGTATGGTGAAAGAGTTTCATTTTTAAAACAATCAGTTATTATGCCCATCGTAAGCAGGATTTTTTTCAGTTTAAAAGTTCTCTACGAGGATTTTAACAACAATGGGACCTACTCTGGGGTTACTAACTTTGTTGCATAGATCTGAATGGATGAAGGAAGCTTGATTGTAATTAACGAGGCGGAGAAATTTTAAAGAGGAAATAACTGATGAGTTGTTTCTTTTCGCCCTGACAACCACGGATTGAATTTGCTTTGTGAACTGAACAAAATAGAATTTAGCAGAGCCAATCAATTTTTATTCTCTTTGGGCTTTTCAGTTATAGTGCGCCAATATCTCATGATTCTCAAAATCATAAATAGTACTAAATGCTTGTTTACATACCCCCCCATTGGACAAATAATTGAATTTCCGTCGTTTAGCTACACTTAATGGAAAATCAATTTTACTCTTATTGCCTTTGCATTGATTCAATTGTCTACTTGTAGGTAATGGAATTTGTTTTTCGGAAAGAATAGGAGGTTAACGTAATTACTGGATTATAATTAAAGTTTTACTTCACTATACAAGAAAAAACTGCCGTAATTTGTAATTCCACGAAGCTAATTTAGAACAAAACGCAAACAATAGGCAATTATAATTTAATAAGGTTCGGTCAATAAATGCATTCTATCCAAGACCGCCGCTTTGAATTATTCTTCTATTCAGTCTTTATCAACTGACTTTTATAGTAGTTACTACATAATAATAACTTGACTATACACGATTATCATCTATGAAGTTCAGCTAGCTGCAGACAAGAACAACTGACATAATGTAAATTCTTTCAGGTTAAATTACTCTTAAAATGAGGGGTGTGCAATAGACTTACCTCCACTTATACCTATGCGACTAAAAGTCTATTAATCGGCAGTTGACTTCTGACTTCCAACTACTATAACCCGACTGTTTGTCATATTTGATCCCTTTCACGATACTCATCTTACCTTTTCTATGCCTCTGTGTCTGTCTGTCTGTCTCTCTTGCATCTGTGAATCATTATTCTGTCCCCCTCTCGACTTGTTGTCACTTTGATGTTCCTCCTCCTCTCAGTGAAGTCCCGTAGGGCTAATGATAACTATCAAAACGCCTGCCATTTGAAATAAATAAATAAATGTCTATGGCCCACAGTCAAGGAATAAAACACCGACAAATGAATTACATTTTCCAGAAAATTATGCCTCTTTATTAAGACAAATGAACCGTACAACCTTAGCTTCCGTTGTAAGAAATCATGTTGGAAGTTGGAGCACGCATGTTAAGAGAAATTCGGCGTTTTCACTCAACGGTTTGTCAACCTTCTTTCCAACAAATAGTAAACAGGTTCGTAACAGGTTTGTCATTCATCGTTAAATTGAAGTTCTCGGAATTATTTTAACACTTCAAAATCGCCTTTGATGATGGCATTAGAAGCTGATAAACCCGCAGAAATATGAAAAGTGGTTTGCTAAGTAAAATACAATTCTTCTCAGAATTATTTGAATGACAACATTTAAATTGTAAAATATCGTACGGCCCTGAGTTGATAAAGTATTTTTTTACTTGAACTCATGAAAAAATTTATTTTGTCCCTTCTATTACAGTCAAGACCCGATGGCCAAATTTCACCAGATTAGTGAAGGGAAATGAAAAGGTCACTAGTGCATAATTTCTTAACCGTAGAAGAAAAAGGTTTCAATACGACGTCTAACTAACACAAAATGTGTTTTTTATGCACACACATCAACCTTTTCAAATAGGTGTTAGTAATTGATTTGGACAATGAAAATGAAGCCAAAAAGGCATTTTTTAGATTTTGAAATATACACTTTTTTGTAAATGAAGTGGCTTGAATAAAGACAATCAGAAATGGAATATTTTCCTTCTTCTTGCTGTCAGAAGGCAAAAAACGTTTATTTCATGGCGAAAAGCCAAATTTTTCCACATCTTAAAGTTCATTTTATTCTCATTTTGTTAGTCGTCCGATAAATTTGGGAGTTTTTACTTTGTATTTGCTCATACCTGCAATCTTTTCAAGCGCGAACAATCACTTTCTTTTGCATTTGTTTTTAGCACAA